TCTAAGTCTGTTAGTGTCATGTCCATGCCACTCTCCTTAGGGTCAGGATATAATTAAAGTAATACTGGTAATAATATTGAAGCGCGCACAGGATAATTATTAATGGTTACAATTAATCAGCGATGTTACAAATGGTGACAGTCCAACGTTACAATAGGCCTACATATGTTGCTATTTACGGTAGGCATTTTGTAGAGTTATCAACTATAACGTTTTGGCATAATCTATGTAACTCACTAGCCTAAGGTGGAATAATAATCAAAGATGGTCAACCATTTTGTGTGTAAGGTTGCCAACAGGTACGTAGCCAATCTACAAGCAGTGTTTTGCCGTAATTCCTCATCTACCTCTCAACTAGAATGATACAAATTAGTAACAATTACATTACAAAATAATTAATAACAGTACAAGTGCATGGTGCTAGATTCGTATGAGTCATGAGTAATATAAATTAGTTCATAATTTATGACCGGTTTAGTACATAAGATGGAGTGAGAACTCGTGTGGTGCCTTGCCGTGGTAGCACGCAATTAAGGATTGGTCACCGATTCTTAACTCGGCAGGAAACAGGGACCTTGTTGTAAGCAGATTGGCAGATCGTATTTCAGGTAAAAACGAGTTGGGTAAGGCTCGAGACGAGCCGAGAAGGGGAGAGCTACTGCTAACAGGAGTCAGTCGTCGTCATTTCCTGTGCCCGCCTGTGTAAGAAAATATGAAAAGATTCGGCATTATCGGTTGAAATTTACCGAACATCGGTACACCTCAAAAATTTAATTAGCACGAGAGTAAAGTTTTTTGTTTTATTGCGTCGTATCTTTATTATGGCCATAGCTTGTATGAGCTTTGTTTGAGGATGGGTTGTTCTTTATACGTGTATCTTGATTGTCTTATCAACCTATTAGGTGGCTTAAAAGATCACTTAAGATCACTAAAGGTCACCGCAAGCCCGGTCCCTGCCCAGGTCTCTTGATCGAGAAATGGTATCTGATCAACCACTGGCTGGTTGATCAGGTACCATTTGTAGCTGTTAATTAAATTTTCTCTTTAGCAGGGATTTGTTAATAATACTCTTTATAATTAGAGGGAAGGTTTTGAAGACGCCATAGAACCTAAATGATTACAAAATTATCTAAAAGTAATTGCACTCCCCAACTTTTCAAATGTTTAGAACTTTCTACCAAGTAGTCTGATCTCTTAAGGAATGAGTCAAGTGTATAGATTTGGAAGCAGTGCATAAAATGTTTTCTAGATGTAGTTTATATAATTTATCGTCCAAAAGTGTAGGTACTTATAGCTACTATTGATGGAATGCAATGAGTATGGACTGTTGATCCCCCCAAAGTTCACATCTTCTACTTCAGATTTTGTAGATTCCAACAAACAAAAAGGCAACAATCAAACCTAACTTTCTAGCCTTAGAATTTTACATATTTAATAAATTAATTGTTTGTTTTTATAACCTTTATTATTTCTTTAGTACAAAATGTGAATATTTTCTGAGAACGGTAGTCCATCCTTTTTTTTTTTCTCACGTTTTATCCGTAGTAACTATAGGTATATAATTTTTTGCAGAATGGGTTGAGAGTATGATGCAATTTTCGCTTGCACTTCAAATAGTACAATTTGAGGGATTTTAAGCGGTTGCAGTAATCTTGAGTATTTTATTGAATGTATTCGAAAAGTAAAAGTATTTTGTTACCGTCTCTTGGTCAGCAACTTCTCCAGCTTTGAATGGGATAGTTAAAGTGCAACAATATTCCACCCTTGATAGTACTGGTGTCTTTAAACTTTCCCCTGGGGCATGTGCACGCTGGAAATGCCTCTGAAGATACATACACTATACAGCACTAGGGGTACTCGTACTTTAGTTTGAGAAGCCTTGCTTTGGTGTGTCCATGAGCTACTGGCTGCGGGCGCCCTGTTATGAACTCTGTTAAGTATCAACTACCATTATCCACTCGCTTCTCAATCTCCCTCTCACAAGTTGAAATAAAACAATATTAGTCCATGATCAGTGCCATAAAATGTGTGTGATCAAATGTTCTTTTATTAAAAGCTTTACAAATTATGTACTAGGAACTATTTCAGCATTACTGGTACACTAGCTACCACATTTTCATTAATAAATATACCCTTTCCAGCCACAGTATTTAGGGTGATCTCAACATACAATGGTGCGTGCTCACTCTACTTACGGTAATATGAAATAAACATTCATATACGCACTCTGATTTATTGTCTCAATTTCCACCCGCTTCCCACCATCACAGTGACTGGACAAATGTGTTCAATAATTACCCATCATTCACAGGAAAACTGTTCTGAGCGATCAAATTCCAACCCGGTGCATATAAAAGGTGAAATCTGCAGGAAATGTCTCATTGCTGGAAATTAAATAAAGGTTCAACATAAAGATAATGTACAAATTTAAATGCTGTTTCGCAAGTATTTCGGCAAAGGAAAATAAGCCTTTGTTAACTGATTATAGTAATAGGGCAAAATATAAGGAATGCATGCAGAACTGAAGTAACAGAGACTGGTATCCATAATATATGAAGAAACATCCTAAACATTATTTTTGTCTTGCAAAACATAATTTATTTGTACTTGTAGCCTTACGGTCATTGTAAAAGTATTGTAGATCTTAATAGCTCTTTTCTTGAACTCTTCCAACTAAACAAAATACAGCAATGTCTTGGGCATCTACATTAATCCTTCAGACATCAAAAACGAAATTACCTATGTCATTAACCACAGGATTTGACTTCTGGAACTCTAGGATTTATAAAGTAATACAAAATATCACCTTGAAAGAGTACTAAAAAAAGGATCACAAAACAGGTCACAGCGTCTACATTACTCTGTATAACATGGGTTTAGAGCAGGACACACTTGCCTCTCTCAATAGATAACCAATATAACATGGCTCTAGATGCCACGGAAGACACGCAAAACATAGGAATTGAAATTGAAATGAGTTTATTGAGGTAAAATACACACAAAGGGATGAGGTAGCTCAAGCTATTCTCACCCCGTTTAGTACATCGTGTTAATACATATATAGACACACACACACACACACACAACATAGAGGGAAAGCGTTTGACAAATATGACCGTGGTGTCATTACACACAAGTAATTACCGGCAAAGTAGGAAAGCTAATTTTAAATTTCCTAACGAACAGAACCGAAAGTAATAGTCAATTAAGTACAGGTAAAACCAAGACTTGATACGGTAAGAAGCTGTTACCAGGGTACTGTGCGTGCCCCAGTACTTTTCCGCATACTTGTATCGGGCATAAACATGGACATAAACTAGAACACCATATCATCCTTTGCTGATGACACTAGGATTTTTATAAGGGTAGACAATATGAAGGACACAGTAAACCTCCAAACTGATGAAAGTCTGGTCTTCCAATGGGCCACAGAAAACCTGACGCTCAATGAAGATAAGTTCCAGCTGCTACTGTACGGTAAAAACTAAAGTATCAAAACAGAATCCCACATATAAAACCTAGTCAAATCACAATTTAGGATGACAAAGCAACATGAAAGATTTTAGAGTAATCATGTCGGAAGACCTGGTCTTAAAGAAGATAATAAATTAGCTGTAACAAATACAACAAAACTGACAGGCTGGATAATAAGAACCTTTCAAATAAGAGATGTTAAACCAATGAAGATGATTTTTAAGACACTTGTACCCTCTAGGGTGGAATATTGTTATACACTAACAGCCCTTTTCAGAGCTGAAGAATTTGCTGAGCTGGAGAACGTGCAAAGATCTCTTACTGGCCGAATCCATTCAATAAACCATCTAAATTAACAATTACTCAGACTGTTTTCTAAAGCGCAGGTGAGAGATAATAAGTTACACTAGGAACATAGTCGAGACTGGTTCTAAATCTGCACACGGAAATATCCCCTTAAGAGACTGGGAGACAGGGCAAGTAACAAAATAATCATATTGAAAAGCAGAGGTGTAACAGGCTTACACCTCTGTTGGTGTAACAGGCTGAGGCAATTATGTTAGCCTTTTAAGGACCAAGACTATATACTGTCAACTGTCTATATACTTGAGAGGCATAGCTAGCCGACCCCTCACAGTATCTAAAAGAACTTAACATCACCAAAGGATGCATGATCAACCGGGCTGTAATTCTTACGCCAGACTGATACCAGCGGCGTCTTAGTCTGGTTGACCAGACCACCAACTAGGAGGCCTGGTCAGAGACCAGACCGCGAGGACATTGGATCCCGGAACCAATAGGTAGGGTAATTAGGCATTAGCATTCAGTTTAATATGAAGAAACGACTGGATACAGGTAAAATCACGTAGGGAGTAACGATGCCAAAGAACCAGTGATCATATTAACATGGAACATCATGGAAAGTCCTTGAGAAGGTGCTAATGAGTCATATTACAATCCGTTCTCGGACCAAGTCCTTTCTATCCAGTGGTCGACCAAAAAGACGCCTTCATCAATTTTAACATTGTTCATTCAAGTCAGAACTTTTCTCAAATATAAATTAATACTGTAAAGTTATATATTAGCATGTTCATATGTAGGCACTGATTAGGTTGGGTGTTTGGGTTCTGTTGGCGATTATATCTATTTGTAGTGCGTGGGTGAAGCATTTACAACGTTGTAGTTAGAACAAAGTCGTCAGCAAAGCATTTGTTACGGAAGTGTTCGGACGTCATCGGTGTGTAACCGTTTTTCATTCATAAACAGGGGGTTTGGCGGGTATATGGAATGGATTTTCGGGTCTTTGTTTGGAGGACGGGCTACATATTTAAGTTTCATGGAAAAATGAGCAAATGGGGCAAATTCTGATTGCTTTGGTACAGAAGAACATAAAAATTAGAGAATTGAATATATGACGCAGTCAGATTTTTTTACGTAAAGGAATTGGAAAATTGATTGGAATTTCTACTTTTGTAACTGAACTTTCGGGATTAGTAATTAGTTAAATTTGTTTTTTCCTTAAACAGAATATGGGGAGTTCCTACACAAGAAGGGCGAGAAGTTCACCAGCTTCGATGAGATCCGGAAGGAAATTGAGGCAGATACAGATCGCATCACGGGTCAAAACAAAGGCATTTCCCCCTTGCCTATCAACCTGAGAGTCTACTCTCCCAATGGTAAGTGTAGCAACTTACCATTAAATTAAGTAAGGCAGTAGCATCTATGTGCTACTGCCCTCTGCTTCTAACATTCATAGTTTATTCGGAAAGACAACCTTAAACCTCTCGCAACACACGCCCTATCGCCTCTCCCCATCACAACGTTGCACCCCCAGCACACCTCGCGCACCACCCCCCCCCCCCCAGCACACCTCTCGCGCCACCCCCCCCCAGCACACCTCTCGCGCCACCCCCCCAGCACACCTCGCGCGCCACCCCCCCCCCAGCACACCTCGCGCGCCACCCCCCCCCAGCACACCTCGCGCGCCACCCCCCCCAGCACACCTCGCGCGCCACCCACCCCTCAGCACACCCCGCGCGCCCCCCACCCACCCCCCAGCACACCTCGCTCGCCCCCCACCCACCCCCCAGCACACCTCGCGCGCCCCCCACCCACCCCCCAGCACACCTCTCGCGCCCCCCACCCACCCCTCAGCACACCTCGCGCGCCCCCCACCCACCCCCCAGCACACCTCGCGCGCCACCCACCCACCCCCCAGCACACCTCGCGCGCCACCCACCCACCCCCCAGCACACCTCGCGCGCCACCCACCCACCCCCCAGCACACCTCGCGCGCAACCAACCCACCCACCCCCAGCAGACCTCGCGCGCAACCAACCCACCCACCCCCCAGCAGACCTCGCGCGCAACCAACCCACCCACCCCCCAGCACACCTCGCGCGCAACCAACCCACCCACCCCCCAGCACACCTCGCGCGCAACCAACCCACCCACCCCCCAGCACACCTCGCGCGCAACCAACCCACCCACCCCCCAGCACACCTCGCGCGCAACCAACCCACCCACCCCCCAGCACACCTCGCGCGCAACCAACCCACCCACCCCCCAGCACACCTCGCGCGCAACCAACCCACCCACCCCCCAGCACACCTCGCGCGCAACCAACCCACCCACCCCCCAGCACACCTCGCGCGCAACCAACCCACCCACCCCCCAGCACACCTCGCGCGCAACCAACCCACCCACCCCCCAGCACACCTCGCGCGCAACCAACCCACCCACCCCCCAGCACACCTCGCGCGCAACCAACCCCCCCCCCAGCACACCTCGCGCGCCACCCCTCCCCCAGCACACCCACCCTCCAGCACACCCCCCCCAGCACACCTCGCGCGCCACTCCCCCCCCCCCAGCACACCTCGCGCGCCACTCCCACCCCCCCCCAACACACCTCGCGCGCCACTCCCACCCCCCCAACACACCTCGCGCGCCACTCCCACCCCCCCAACACACCTCGCGCGCCACTCCCACCCCCCCCCCAGCACACCTCGCGCGCCACCCCCCCCAGCACACCTCGCGCGCCACCCCCCCCAGCACACCTCGCGCGCCACCCCCCCAGCACACCTCGCGCGCCACCCCCCCAGCACACCTCGCGCGCCACCCCCCTAGCACACCTCGCGCGCCACCCCCCCAGCACACCTCGCGCGCCACCCCCCCAGCACACCTCGCGCGCCACCCCCCCAGCACACCTCGCGCGCCACCCCCCCAGCACACCTCGCGCGCCACCCCCCCAGCACACCTCGCGCGCCACCCCCCCCAGCACACCTCGCGCGCCACCCCCCCCAGCACACCTCGCGCGCCACCCCCCCCCCAGCACACCTCGCGCGCCACCCCCCCCCCCAGCACACCTCGCGCGCCACCCCCCCCCAGCACCCTCGCGCGCCACCCCCCCCAGCACACCTCGCGCGCCACCCCCCCCCCCAGCACACCTCGCGCGCCACCCCCCCCCCCCCAGCACACCTCGCGCGCCACCCCCCCCAGCACACCTCGCGCGCCACCCCCCCCCAGCACACCTCGCGCGCCACCCCCCCCCCCAGCACACCTCGCGCGCCACCCCCCCAGCACACCTCGCGCGCCACCCCCCCCCAGCACACCTCGCGCGCCACCCCCCCCCAGCACACCTCGCGCGCCACCCCCCCCCCCCCAGCACACCTCGCGCGCCACCCCCCCCCCCAGCACACCTCGCGCGCCACCCCCCCCCCCAGCACACCTCGCGCGCCACCCCCCCCCCCCCGCAGCACACCTCGCGCGCCACCCCCCCCAGCACACCTCGCGCGCCACCCCCCCCCCCCCCCCCCCCAGCACACCTCGCGCGCCACCCCCCCCAGCACACCTCGCGCGCCACCCCCCCCCCCACACCTCGCGCGCCACCCCCCCCCCCCAGCACACCTCGCGCGCCACCCCCCCAGCACACCTCGCGCGCCACCCCCCCCCCAGCACACCTCGCGCGCCACCCCCCCCCCCCAGCACACCTCGCGCGCCACCCCCCCCCCCAGCACACCTCGCGCGCCACCCCCCCCCCCCCCAGCACACCTCGCGCGCCACCCCCCCCCCCCCCCAGCACACCTCGCGCGCCACCCCCCCCCCAGCACACCTCGCGCGCCACCCCCCCCCCAGCACACCTCGCGCGCCACCCCCCCAGCACACCTCGCGCGCCACCCCCCCCAGCACACCTCGCGCGCCACCCCCCCAGCACACCTCGCGCGCCACCCCCCCAGCACACCTCGCGCGCCACCCCCCCCAGCACACCTCGCGCGCCACCCCCCCCCCCCCAGCACACCTCGCGCGCCCCCCCCCCCAGCACAACTCGCGCGCCACCCCCCCAGCACACCTCGCGCGCCACCCCCCCAGCACACCTCGCGCGCCACCCCCCCCCCGCCCCCCCAGCACACCTCGCGCGTCACCCCCCCCCAGCACACCTCGCGCGCCACCCCCCCAGCACACCTCGCGCGTCACCCCCCCCCCCCCCCCCACACCTCGCGCGCCACCCCCCCCCCCCAGCACACCTCGCGCGCCATCCACCTCTCCTCAGCAAACCCCGCGCCCCCCCCCCCCCCCCCCCAGGGGCACATCTCGCGCGCCCCTTACCCAGTACCTCGCGCGACCCTATCCCCTCCACTAACGCATGCACAATCTGGTTTGAGTAATGACCACTAGATTTTAACCCTGACAAATGCAAGGTTATGCAAATGGGAATTGGAGCCAGAAAGCTTCAAATGCAGTACAGGATGAAGGGAAGACAACTTTCAAATTCCGAAAAAGTAGGTTAAGAGTGGACATTCGATACAGTTTATCGTATCATATTTACATTTAAAACTGAGGTAACGAGTCAATATTGAATAATGATGGTCGGAAGGGGGAGCTTATTAAGAGCAGATGCCGATTCTGCAAGTACAAGGTAAGTACATGTACTGCTTACCACTTCCCTCCCTCCCTCCCTCTCGCTATCGTGTTTACTCTCACGTGCTGACATGAGATGTGCTTTAATGTATTGATGTTTAAATGTTACTACTCTTTGTATTTTATTACGATGTTGTGTAACATAAGTAAATATTAAACGTTTACCTTCCTTTCCACCTTCACGATTTTGTTAATGGTTTTATTTTCATTTATTCGTGAGCTTTGTTATTTTCATGTTTTGTCTTGCAGTGGTGATACCTGGCACGAAGGCCAATCCCAGTGGGGCAAATATTTGTTGTTTAGTATTATGATCACGAATGTTTTGTGCTCGCTTCCATGCGCGCTCATCCACATACACCATTGATAGAAGGCCGTAATGTATCGTATTTTGTGATTGATGAAATTGGGATTAAAATCACATGTAAAAGGTTAATCAAGTTTTAACGCTATCACACACTAATAATAATAATAAATTTAAATTAAGTTATATGCTTACCATTTAAAGTGTCGAATAATGGGAGATTCGGTAGATATAGTTGATCAACGATGTTATTAGGTTGAATACTAGGGTGTAATAAAACCTCGGTCATTTATTGTTCTCATCAACTTGGTTACCCATCTAATTTACTCGAACTTAAGAATTCTCAGTTCCTACTGAAAACGTAGACGCAGTACAAATTATTCGATGACTCAAACCCGCATACAACAGTTCTTCACCATCGGAAAGATCAGTTATTGCTAAACCGTTTAGATAGCCTATATGCAAGATTTATGATAGCAAGCAGCAACCTAGATAATTAGGTTGTCACTAGAGGTGTGTTGTTTCAAGTCTGGCTGTAAGCAGAAAGGCAATGTATTTGTGGTGTTGGTGTGAGGTGATGCGGGCTTGGTGTGTGATTTTCTGATTGAGTGGTTTAAGATTGTGTGGCGTGGTTATGTGGTGGGGATGAAGTAGTGAGGTTGTAGTCAGTGCATGTCTTTTGTTCGCGTAAGCTTGTGCTTTTGCCAGTAATTGCAGCGCCTGTGTCGCGGGGTAGGGGGTGCATTAGCGAGGTTAGGTGTTGTGTGGGAAGGGGGGGGGGGGGTGCACCAGCGAGATTGTGGTGTATGTAGGCGTAGCACGTGTGAAGGGGGAGGGGTGCATTAGCGAAGTTAGGTGTTTTGTGTGTAAGCGTAGCGGGTGTGAAAGGGGGGGGGTGCTCTAGCAAGGTTAGGTGTTGTGTGTGTAGGCGTAGCGCGTGTGAAGGGGGGGGGGGTGCTCTAGCAAGGTTACCCCCCCCCCCTTCACCATGTGGGTGTAGGCGTAGCGCGTGTGAAGGGGGGGGGGGTGCACTAGCAAGGTTACCCCCCCCCCCCTTCACCATGTGGGTGTAGGCGTAGCGCGTGTGGGTGCACTAGCAAGGTTACCCCCCCTTCACCATGTGGGTGTAGGCGTAGCGCGTGTGAAGGGGGGGTGCACTAGCAAGGTTACCCCCCCTTCACCATGTGGGTGTAGGCGTAGCGCGTGTGAAGGGGGGGGGTGCACTAGCAAGGTTACCCCCCCCTTCACCATGTGGGTGTAGGCGTAGCGCGTGTGAAGGGGGGGGGTGCACTAGCAAGGTTACCCCCCCCCTTCACCATGTGGGTGTAGGCGTAGCGCGTGTGAAGGGGGGGGTGCACTAGCAAGGTTACCCCCCCCTTCACCATGTGGGTGTAGGCGTAGCGCGTGTGAAGGGGGGGGGGTGCACTAGCAAGGTTAGGTGTTGTGTGTGTAGGCGTA